ATGTGCGGGACATGAAAAAATGCAGCAGATTATCATATATCCATTGCCCAGTCCTTCACTGAAGGGTTCTAATCCCTTGTCCTCTTTTCCCTGTGGTACCCTCCTCATAAACTAAGACTCCTGCCTCCCTGATCACAACAGTGGTGGATTGATAAGGTCATCAGGTTAAAGCCCAAGGCTCGAGACGGTGCTTAACAACAGTGTCAATTATACAGTCACACTTTCTCTTTTCTGCTCCCTTAATTAGCATTTAAATATTCCAAGTGGAGTGGAATAGGTCAAAAAGGAGCCATTAATGACCTGAATCCAGAATACTCTATAGCCTATTTACTGGAGTGTTCATCTGGGGAGTGGAACAGACAAATGAAAATTAACCAGCTCTCTCATTTAGAGCAGACTGCACTGAGCTGAATTGCCCTAGCAACAATATTATTATTTAAAAGGCAACAACCTCTTATTTTTAGTAGCATGACTAGCCCTTTGTTTTTAATATGCTCGGCCTTAAAATGCATTGCAAATTGAATATTTTTCCTGATTCATTTTTTTAATTTTTTGCTGCTATTGACAGAACTAGGACTGTTACCAAAAAAAACCAAAAAACCCAACAAACTAAAAACAAACCAAAAAACCAAACCCTATGAAATGACATAAATACAGAAAATTACTACTTTATGTCTGAATGAGTATGAATGGAGTAGGGGTATTTTTTGTTTATTTCCTGTTTTGTTTTTCTTCTGGGGTATTGGAAAGTATAGTTGTTGAACTGTAAAATCAAGTGCCCATTCTTAACCATGGACTCCTATGCTTATTACGCCTTACGGAGAGCTAAACTCACAAATGAAAAGGGTATTTTATCTAAGCTGCTAGGACTACAAGCTCACTCTGGACTCTGAAAGTCACATGTGTTCATCTCAAAGTTGTCACCAATTGTCAAGATTTATTTATACTTATGAGACCTTGTGGGTCTTCAGATTATATCCTAAGTGACAACTCTGAAACCAGGGAATAGTAAGAATCTCAGAGTTTTAGAGGTTTGGAATTTAGCAAATCAGTCCGTTGATGTAAATGTGACATTTGTGACCTGATGGGATAGTTCTGTGTGCATGAGAAATTATGGAGTCAGAGGTACATATCCCCAGAGTAATCTTTTTATAGAAATGTATATATATTTTTTTTTTTTAAGTTTCCATCCTCATTGCAAATCAATAACAGTCACAACCCAAAGTGCCAGGAGGCTCTAGAAAATGTGGTAGTGGATTAGAATTGGATGGCTGAAATTGTAACAGCCTTCAGCTGCACCTTCCACTCCTGTGGTGGATGTTGCCTCCCCTAAAGCAGGGACAACTGATATGCTCATGAATTTCTTGATCCACTGCAGTGTTGACTTAAAGTTAACTGACCTGGGTTCTGGTTGGATGTAATACAGGCAGTAAAAATTCTCTTGGGAGAGAAAATGTGTATTATATGGGCAGCAATGATGTCTGGAGGAGTTCAGTAATCTGACTTTAACCTGTTGCTGAATGACCCCCTTACTTGTAGAAGTAAAACTTTCTAGGCTCCATCAGGTGATTTCAAAGCAACAAAAATGCCTGCCTCTCATTCCCACATTGGGCACCTGAAGACCTACTGGCTTTTTGGGCAGGAGCTCTGCTTAACTACGGAACTGCTGGCTGCACCTTTGGAAACATTGCCGGTGTGTAGGTCCCCTCTTTCTCTACTGGTCTTGCTGTGTAAATAGCATTGCTGCAGGTTTGGGGAGGAGATTAGCACTGGAGGAAGACAGACAAAAATGCACACAACACTGGGCACTTCAAAGCAAGGAACAGGCAGAGAAAAGCATCAAGATAATACTATGTAAAAAGAGAATGGATTTAGGTGGGAGGGCAGTCATCTTGGAATTTTTGGAATCAAACCCCACATGAGATTATGTAGTAGCAATATCAATATCTCCCATGGGAGTCCTCAGATAAGCTTCTCCAGCCAATATTGTTTATAATAGTATCTAGAGACATAAAAATCTAATTTCTGTTTTCAGTCATTTGGGATATTCTGTCTGGGTTCTTACAGGAGATTCAGAAGTTAGTGTGCTGTAGATGGTGCCTGCCAGTCCTATACGAATGACTCTGATATCATGAAGCATCTATAACAACACTGGAGACCTTTCTTATGTCTTCTGAATCATACTGCAAGCACTTGCATCAGGATCCTTTGGCAGTATAACAGCATTTTTCTTAGCTTGACTTCTAGTCAATAGCTGTTCGTTACCACTTCAATGAATGCAATGGTGGTGATTTTCTTGTATAACATCCCGAGTTTTTAAGGAGAAATCTGACATGGCTACATCAGCAGCCAAAAGCATGCAAAAGATACTCTTCCAGCGTACTTGAGCTTTGTCTCTACAGAATTGCTCAGATTGGTAAATTATGGAAAACTGTTTTCTTTACCAAAGAAGGCATACAGCAGTCTGAATTTGAAAAGTTAGGTATACTAAATAGGAAAGAACAATTTTTACATAGCAGCAAACCTAGAGGAATGGTCCTTTGAATGGTAATTATAAGTCCATATTTACATACATATGTAGAGTTTTGATTGTGTGTGTTATACCTGTGCAAATATCTGTCGTTAGTATGTCCTTGGAGATGTGCTGTGGTACTAATCAGATTTGTCAAGATGAGACAGTACCTTTCTATTCTCTCTTACACATCATAAACTCTGACTGATATCCCCAAGGGAAAAAAAAATCATAATGTGTCATTTATGACCTGTTGCATGCACAAATTACTAGCATTTTGTATGCAGTAGAATGACAAAATGCTGTTGATTTTGAATTTGACTTTTGGAATCAGATTTTTATTGCTAGTTGTCACTTGACAGATTTTTCCTCCTGCTGTGAAATATTAGATCTAAAATTTACGTTTGGAGAAATGGAAACAGTGATGGGTTTATAATATTTTTTCTAAAAAAAAAAAAAAGTATAAATTCTATCCTAGTAGATAGACATTATTCATAAGCAGAATAAACATTCTATGAATAAGACTAGATTTCAAATAAGTAACAAAAAACATGTAATATGTCAATCTTGTTTTGCTTATACAACACTGCTGTGTAGCAGAACAGCTTTCCAGGGCTTGAAGCAAGGCACTGATCAGTGGCAGGATGCTCGTGCAGAAGGAAGCTTAAAAGGTAGAGCTAAGGGAAGTACACACAAATGCAATGCACTACATAGCAAACAAAAAAATTGTAGAATAGTTAGGGTTATGAGTTTGAACACTCTACGGATATTACCTATTAAGAGGGAACCTCTGATACCAAAATTGTCTTTCCCACTTCTACAGATATATGTGAGATACATCAAGGTCATTTCAGTAGCACATTAGATTATTGTTCTCACTTTCTACAGAAAAAGGAACAAACCAATATTCATTAGCATAAGGATTGGAAGACTTGTTATGCCTTTTTTTTTCTTTTTAGGAATAAATATAGATACCTACAGGTAATATCAAGCTGGTATCAAGGAACTAATCCTTCCTTCATTTATTTATTTGAGAATATCAATATAGTGATTCTCAAATAGAGGCTACATATATGTTCTGATGGCAAATATCTGAGTCTTCGACAGCCTTGTACCTTAGCTCTAGCGAAGGTTTACAAATGCATATTTGTCATTTTCTAAGTAAAAACTGAAACAAAATCTGTTTATCTGTGTATAGAGCAGTTCTGTCACCCTCCTTACCTCATAATCCTAGAAAATTATTGGCCTTATAAGTTGTATCAGCTGTGACAGAAGATAGGTGATCTCAGGGCAAGAGGCAAAGGTATGAGCAAAATAGGCAGCACCAGATCCCTTGAAATTTCAGACCTCTGTTTTGGCAAAGGTACCTGAAATCCCTGGCATTAATTTAGGACAGTTGGTATCATCAACCAGACCAGGAATATATGTAACATATCTTTGAATACTTTAACATCAGCATACAAGCATATATTGTAAACTTAATCAAGTATAGATACTGTGCTCTTCTAGTTTTTGACTGTGGAGTTATGAATATTTTTACTACTGTTATTGTATATACTGGAAAACGAATACCCACCAAGATTCTTTAAGTCATCACTTTCTTTTGTGAAGAAGAGTAATTTGAGAACTTTCAGATGTGGTCAGGCTTCCACAACCATAGTTTTGGTTTGTGTTCCAAATTAACATTTCTTAATACCCCAGGATGAAGCAGATTAAGTCACTATTGTTAACTGTTCATTAAACAGTTAATGCATGTCAACTGTTTTCTTAGCTAGTGTATGTAAGTACTCACCTTCCTACCAGCTTTCAAGCACAAACCTGTGCTTTCTGGAATTAAGTCTGCTTTGGCACTGTAATTCTTGTTTCTTGAGAGACTATATCATTAAGTAAAAAATGACACAAAGATATTTAAAAATAAACTACAAGCCTTTTGGCAACTTGTAAGGATACTAGGTATGTAAATTATTTGTGTTCCTATTAGAGGAAATGGAGTATATACGTTCCTATTGACATTGATATGTGTCCTTGGCAGCAGAATTCCAGCCAAACCTCCAGTGGCATAGACACATTAGCTCTATTACAGTCAATGGAAGTACACTTAATCACATCACCTGAGAATCTGGCCTACAGCCCATAACAAGACAGCCCTTTGGACAGTAATAATATTTTATGCATTCATCAATTGCTCTCCTAGGTCTGTAGCTATTCGTGGCAGACTAAAAAATATCATATTATAATCAAAAAGGCTGGTCGTGGCTATTTCACTAGAATTTCACTATTTCCCAAATTAACTTTACTAAAACTGGCCCCAGTTCAGGAAAAACTCCTTCCAGAAAGCACAATTGCTGGCCTTTAATAGTGCAATATTAACATCTATGCTAAATATTCTGATTACAGAGTGATTTCAGAACAACATTCATATTCTCAATTTTTAGGCTCCAAGAGTTACATTCTATTTTCCTCTGTTTTGACTTTTTACCTAGGACATATGTCTACAACCACGACAATAATAGATGGTAAGAACGAGTCTGTTCCTTCATCATCCATGAAAGTGGGCAAGAAATCTGTTACTGAGGACCTCGTGACAACATTCAGCTCACCAGCAGCATGGCTTCTTGTTGTTGCTCTGATTGTTACCTGGTCAGCAGTAGCTATTGTAATGTTTGACTTGGTGGATTACAAAGCCTTTGCAGGTAAAATTCAGCATATTCTGTTTGACATCTTGTATATTAAAATTAAAACTAAAAAAAATATTAAGGAGTGTGTATTATGTAAATTATCTTCTTGGAGACAGCATAGTGTCTCTGCTCAGTTTGCCAAGAGAAGAGATATTGTGAAAAACGTCAGAACATACCAGTTTACACTTCATACATTTTTATGATTTAAATATCTTCATTTGTAGCCCATTGTCATCTTGGAAAATGTGTATGTTGACAGTAATATAATATGTATATGAGCATGTATGGTCAGATGTCTGTTTTGCGATTTCTATATAAAAACATTTCAAGAAGAATAAAATACTTCATATTTTCTGAAATATATTTTCAAAACTTCATAGCTGTCTTGAGTATTCTGACATGCTTAAGTAGTTCAGTGGCAAGAAAAGTGCAAAAGATCGTTTCTAAACATGGTAAGACTAAATTCATATTGAAAAAACATAAGCACAGACGGCCAGATTCTTAATATTAGCTAAGTCGCATCCTTGTCTTCAATAAGGCCATAATTCTAACCTAGTTTAAGACTGACAAATTGACTGAAGATCAGGTTTTGGGGTACATATCGGTTACTGAAGGCAAAGATGAAAATGAAGGGGGTGGTTGAAGGAATATGGTCATAGTTGAGAAATGAGAGAAAAGGAGTTGGGAATAGAAATTATCTCACTGCTACTTGATTTTTATGCCTTGTATTTGGCAATGATATATAGTGAAAAATAAAATAAATCGACTATGTATGTTTGTAAAGTCTTCAGCAAGCCAAAATTCTGTGAGGTAAGCAGCCTGTAATGACTGGGAAACATGTATGTAAAACAGAAAACAAATGGTTATGGGTTTTTTTCTTTCTTAAATAAGAACTCCAGCTCTAAAGTTATCACATCTGCCACAATAATTAACTAGGAATTGAAATTCCACTTCAGCCTTTTAATTCAAAACAAATTTAGTTGATGTTTCAAAGTTAATTTCCTGAACTTTGTTTACTGAAAAATCCGTAGAATTTTGTCCTGCTATATATCAATATTGACCTCAAGATTTACTTAAACAGGTTTTGAGACATAGATCTTGAAAGAAACTGACCAATCCTGGATCAATGGGTGACACAGAAGCTCGAAATATGGAGAAAACATATCACAAACCTCTCAAATTTTTTTGCTTTTCATTTGTCTTTGTTTTCAGAACAAAGTCACTTGAGTCCCAGCAAAATATAAAGTTACTTTTGAACAATCTTCCCAAATCAGACATCAGATTTTAATTATGGCACCACATGCTTGATGCTACAACACAGATAAAAAACAAGAGAGAGACACCATCATATTCTGCTTTTAATTTTTCATATTAACCATGAGTCAATCAACCAATCAATCAATCAAGTTCTTAACATTTTTTCAATAAGCAGTCAAGAACCAGGGCATAAACTCAGACTAAGCAATTCCTGAACTGGCTGTCAGCTCATACATGCTCAATATACTAGTCAGGGTAATGCTAAGCAACGAGAATATGAATTTGGACTGGCGACTGAGGAAATTTTCTAAGCAGACGGAAATCTGGTGTTCATGTTGTATTGGTTAAATGAGCATAAATCTCACAGGTGTTGATGGAAACTGGTGTTTTCAGACCAGGCTGTAGAAATAAAATTATGTAAAATTTAATCTGCAGGGTGAGTTCATATTTTGTGGAGATTTCTGGGGTGATACTTCAGTATATTTTGATTTCATGAGTTTGGTTTTTTTCCTCCCCAAAGATATTTCTGTTCCTAAGTGATAAATTAAGCTACCTGTTAAATGGGGCCTTAACAGTGAAATGTTAAGAGGAGAAACTGTTGTGCTCCTTTAGACCAGGATTTATTAGACTGTTATTTGTATTTACATATATATAACAACGACTACACAGTTTTTATCATGACCCTTTCTTTTCTACTCCTGAGTTCCTACTCAATCTGATTTTTCCAGTTTAAAATCACTGATTTATAAAAAGTCCATAGAAATAGCTGAAGATTTCACATAGGAGAACTTCTCAGGCACTATTAGCACTAAAATGATTTTCACCCTTTGAGAGTTTGGTCTTTTGTGTCCAGTGAAGGTAATGCTATCTTTTCATATAGAAAGTAAAATCTGGAGTATATTTTTAAGGGAGTCATTAATTCTAAAACCCAGTGATATTTTCTCTTGGGTTTGATACTGTTCTTTGAACAACCAGACCTTCATTGAAAAACTGAATAATTATTTTCAAGGCTATAAGTTTAGTTTTGCAAGCATGATTAAAATTAATTTCTTAGTTTTCAAATGTAAATGAAAGATACCAAAGAAATTATATTCAACTGTACGTTTTTTAATCTATGAAACACAGAATATTCAGTGTATTTTTCCTTAAATAACACTTTCATAAGTCAGTGCATTCAATTTCTTTCCTATTTCTTTACCTGAAGTTCCATGAAGTTCAAGTTTAGAAAGTACACATAGCATATGAATGAAGCAATCTGAGAAAAATAAACTTGCTAAGCCTAGAGAAGAGAAAACTGAGGGGTGACCTAGGAGCAGCCTGCAACTTTTTAAAGAGCAGTTACAAAGATGACGGAGAACTCCAACCTACAGGTTCCCACCAGAGACTTTCACTGTATTTCTGTGCAAGAAATGGCTGTCTCCATAGCAGAGCTGCTAGTAGTGACTGTACTACACAGGACTGACTTCAGCAGAAAACAGGAGGGGCTTGACATAGCAAACCAGGCTAGGAACCATATGTCTGAGGAATATATACAGTTTTATTCCTCCTGATTACACTACATAGCTGTTAGCCTCTGGCCAACAAAGGAAGTGAATGCCCTAAGTTATGAGTTACACAGATACACAGACATTCATGGAGCTCTATACATTAGCAGAGTAGGAAGTAGGTTAGATTTGAACTCAAGCATTGTTTTCTTATTTTGACAATCAGCAATTTTGCTCTCATTATCTTAAAGGGAATTAATTCAAAATAGACATAAAATACAAGTATATGTATTTTAGGTCTTATATATTCTTTTAATTTATCAGTATAAACTTCAAGTTGCCACTATGATTAGAGTGCCAAACCATAGATTTTAGTTCTTGGTTACTATGGTTTTATGTTCCTTTGGAAGTAAACTATCAAGTTTGGGAATCTTGGCAGTTTATGTAAGATGAAATTTGTACCAGAAGTAACCATATGAAAATGAGGTATTTGTTTTCATTGCTCCAGTAATAGAAAGGTTTAAGATATATTTTGTGTAATTTTACACATCCAGAGCATACTGACTGTAAATTCTGTAGTACTCTGTAGTATTCAGGAGGTGCTGGTTATGATGTAAAATATTGCAGGAGGACCCTGTGTTATGGGTTGCATATGTAAAGTGGGGCCTCGTATGTGTCGGTTTGTTCAAAGGTTAGAACAGAGATGGGAAGTTCAAGACAGCTTCGGCAGTGGATTTTGAGGAAATCATGAGACAAGAATTAGGTCAGTGCTGAAGGATTTGCCTTTGTTCTATCTACCCAGAAGGAAATTAAATTTTGCAGTGTTTCACTTTATTATGTTCATTCCTTTGAGGAAAGAATGAAAGCTTGCTTTCCTACCATGCTGTATTGTATAACTATAAACATGAGTGAAATATTTCTAATGTGGTATGAAGATGACATGCATTACAGAAGTCTGAGATGAGAAACTAGGAATCTCATGAAGTATGTAGTGTGTATGAATAAGTAGCATTGGAAGCCACATTGGAAGATCTCTTACACATTCTCAGTATTTTCAGAAATGCAGAAAATTATTCATTTTGGTTTGATGTGTGCTTTACAACAGTTTGTTTTTACTACCATCCTTTGTGTTTAGAAAATACACCTTCTTAATTGGCTTCATAATTCAGGAATGTATTTCATGCATTTCTTGTACACATAACTGGATTATATATTTTAATTGGTAAATGTAACTAAATAATTTATTTCAATCCTAAAGATTGATTGCCCAGGAATCCACATTTGTTAATGGGCTAATAAAGTGTTCAGAATTCCCTGCCATCTCTGTGACTAATTACAGCTAATTAACACCACCCTAATTTCAGATCCAGAGTGTTCAATATTCAGAGTAAATTGATAGTGATTTAGCCAGCCACCTGAAGGCCAGACTAAATCAAACCTAATAAAACTCACTAAATCTATAAAACCTAAACCTATCCACGAAATAATCTACGTGAAATTAGTGGACTCACACAGCATGATGGAATTGCCATTTTGTAGGAATTGCTTTCATAAAAGAAAAAGGAGCACAATCTTTGTGGTGGATAATTCCTTTTTCTTAGCCATAAAGAAGATTTTTAGAGACCTGCAGCAAAGGTAGATCTCTATGGAGGCAATGTCTGCCAATGACAGGAATGGGGAGCTAACAGGGCACGGAGGCAAAGAACTCCCAGCTCCACAAGAAGCAGTAGGGATTCCAGTCAGATATTTTCTTTAATTTGTTTAGGTTTGTTTTTTTGCCCTTATAAGTTAACGACAAAACATCTGACCAACTTGTGGCATGTCCCTTTGTCAGCTTCTGACTATCATGGTCTGAAGTCACCAGTTCCCTGCCTTAGCTTCTGGTCACTTCGACTACTGTCTTGTCACCACCGAAAGATTTTGGCTGGCCCTGAGTAGTCAGGATGATAAACCTATTAAAATTCTCCAGCAGAGAAAACCAAACAAATAAACAATTAAGAACCATATGTTCATTTTGGAGAAGAAAGAAACATGAAGGTAAAGATCCAGACTCCAAAAAACTTCTACTGTATGATTGACACAAGGACATTTTTTTGCCAGTCTCCTGCATGAGAAAACTGTAAGGTATACAACCTGTTAGGTGTTGGGTGTTTGTTTCATCATTAAGAGAAGTGGAAGTCAGCAAAATATAGCTATTCTACTTATTTTTATTTTTTGTGAGATAATAATTATTAGAAATGTATACATCCATTTTTCTTCTAGAGTGTCATCACT